TGAATTCATACAGATGGAAAAGCAAAAAAGCTTTTACCTTTTTGACCAGGCTCCGGCCTGCAGAAGACATACTCAAGCAGGACTCCTTCAGCGTGGCGTACCCTTGCTTGGAAGGGTTTGATAAGGCCATCGTAAGGATCCTTAACTTGAAATGTTATGAGAAACATTATCGCAGAAGACCAGTGGTAATTGGCTCGAACAACCTTTACAAACTCAAATTGTGTACTCTGTTTTCATACAATTAGAAACATTGATAAATAAATAAGCTGAGACATGCTATATTATAGTATATTTTTGGAAGAATTTGAAAGCACGCATACATTTTCCAGATTGTATCCATCAAGGGACCCCTGAGAGAGCCTGATGAGTAAATCCCCATCGGTTTCTGGCTCGTCAACGAAATGATGTGTATCGAGCGTAGCAGGATGGTAGTTGAAAACGCAGCGGAAGAGTGAGAAATTGATATCAAAACCCTGTTTTGTTTGTTTTTATGCAAATACAAATACAATATCACACCCTAAATCTCACAAAATCAATCGTAAAAACAACAAAAACAGAAGAAGAAGAAGGAAATACAATACATACATCGCTTTCATTGACTTGTTCGTCCATAATGGCATATTCTTGCTCTGGTGTGTACTGAGGCTTATCTTTCTCGGTCCGAGTCATGTACGGAGGTCTCTCATAGCGGTCACCACCAGGTCTCCACAGTAAAAACGCTGGCTCGAGCCATTCTCTCCAGCCTGCTCAGGGATATGTAAGTCAAAAATCGATCCAGCGAGACAAATCTATAAACACTTAATTCGATTCGTACCTTCAAAGACATCCATCGCTCGTCACGAATCAAAAATTCGCCCTTTCGTTGATCAACAGATGAAGAACCCTAACCTTTTTTTTTTTTTGTCTGTTTGGTTTTTGTGAAAGTGAAATTTTAGATGCGTTCCTCTCCTTCTTCTAGAACTATCTATCATAGAAAATATCCTAACTATTTCCATTTATTTCACTCAAGGTCCCTTTAAGTTTCTTGTTTTTCGTGTTTTGGCCTTGCAGTTTTGATTTCGTTTAAAATACCCCATCAAAATAACTACGATACGAGCAATTGTAATTCACTAGTGTGAATTTTGTTTGTTTGCTGATTCGTAGCAGAGACTTTT